CCTTGCAATTACGAACTCTTGCTATTAAAGACACCAAATCTCCCGCAAAGGGTGTCCGCAATAATGGGAGTCAAATGTATTATTATAAGAAATCATGGTTTTGGAAAAAGTGTATTTTTTGCCATTTTTTCACTGAAGATCAAGACATCAATACTTCTTCAATTCAAAATATGAAGGGGTCCATAAAAACATCATGTAATGAAACAAAATAGACTGGTATTTGAGCTGAGATCTCCAATACTAAACCTAACATTTAGATTTCAAGTAATGATTGCAGGTCCATGAAGTTACAAGGGCTTTCAAAAGACAAGAGTCAGACCTTTTTAAGAAAAAAGATGTGCATTGCAAGAACTTTGTGGTTAGTTTACAAAAACTGCATGTTGGCTCCTTAAACCGTTAACTCTCTGCAGTGGTAAACATGTAACTCCAGTACACAAGTAATGACAGTACTCAAACTTATCAGGCAGGAGTTGTTATCTGGATCTAACTCCAAATTCTCGTTGGGGAGAGTTAACAATCAGATCTTGAAAGTTAAGGGCTAAACTTACATTTGCTTGGACTTTTGAAACAGGAAAGCATCCACAGTAAGAGCGAAAATCTTGGCAACTAACGACAAATCTTCGTTTCTCATATTGGCGGGAAAATAGGCATCAATATTATCTACAATGATAGCATGAGAAACTCTTGCTGTCGACATGTGGATAGACGCCATGTAATTCAGAAATTCCTCTTTCGTTTCCAAATAGACCATCTGTATGTTCTTCAAAGTAACACTTGAGGGCTGAGTTCTTCCATGAGCGAGTAAAGGAAGTTTTGAGAGTTTTTTGGGACAAATAAACAGGACGTGTTTTCCTTCGTCAGCAAAGCTCAGAGCCGTTTCGAAAAGAAGTGAGGTTTTTCCAACTTCAGGCGGCCCACACAACAGGATTTTATCAATTCCAGTAACAATATCTGCATCAAAAAGTAAAGAAGATGTGCTTTCTTGGCCTTCTGCTTCAGATTCACCGCAAGAAGGATTATTGATGTGAAACAAACGAGATAACATTTTGACAAGACGCTGTTTACTGACCTGTGCGCGGAATTTACCGCCAGGCGATATTCTAATGCGGAGAGGTCTGGGTACTAGGCTTCTCATAAGCTACAAAACAGTCCTTTTCAAAAGGAAAATTTCCAGAAAAACTAATTTAGGAAATCAAAATAAAATCTAATAAACACACTTAATATATATTTGTTACGCTGATTTGTTCGAATTTGAGAGACAAATTTCGGTCTTTATGAAAGGTTAAGGAAAAAGGGAAGGCGTAAGGACCTGGTACAGAGTTCCTTTCTATCACGTGTTTCATTCACTGTCTCCTCTTTCTCTCTTTGTACGACACGTCTCCAAGATGGCTGCACGAGGTTCGTGAAACACATTTTAATTGAAAAATGCTATAGAAGTGATCGTATATCATCGTTTTACTGTAGATTTATTGTTTTCGGAGCTGCATGATTAAGGAGGCAGCTGTATCTTGAATGTTTAGACAGATCATTCCTTCTATTTGGTCGCCTGTTTATACCTACTCAGGGAAATCGAATTGTGCTGATTAATTACTGTAGTCCAGTTCATTGACTTTTTTCAATATTCTTCGCCAAAGCAGCGAATTTTTTTCAAAGGATTTGATTAAATTACAAGCAGTGCCTGCTTCAATTGTCAGTTTTGTGGCAATTGGCTTAAAATATGGTGGAGACTTTCATTGTTGCTTTTGCAGTCTGTGAATGCGGTTGGCCTTTGTTTTGTCTACCCTCTCACTAGGATCTTGTTATAGGAAAAACAGTCTGCCTGAAACGTTTAAAATTACTTCTTCCTTCGATTCCACATACTAATGAATAACCGGACGAAATATGGTTTATTTCTGAGAGAGAATAACTTGACATGGCGTATCAATTTCTGTTATTGTACATACGGTAATATTTTTCTTTTATCTTGCCACAGTATTCTCAAGGGATTGATTTGTTTCATCTCCCTTACCTAAATCAAATTTATGGAAGACCCATACTGATTTCTCTGTCACTACTAAGTTTGATTCCCCACGGTAGTTCACTAGAATCTTTCCTTTTAGACACAGGGTCACCTTTTTTAATGGCAAAAACCTTTATTCCTATTAGAAATATGTGCAGGGAGGCTGTATGATAAGTCATGTGGGTGTTCTTGAAGTGAGGTTCGACCATTCTCTGAATTTCGTCGTTGTTCTAGAATCTCAAGTTCTACTTTTAGGGACTGATAAATCTTTTAAAAACACACTTTTTGTTGAGAAATTTGTAGCAGGAGAATAATCCAAAGGAACTGGAGAAAATTCTTCAAATCTACATGAAAACCAGCTTAGCCTGCAAAAAATTTTCTAGTATCTGAAAACTTTTGACGACTTAAGAACAATTGAAAATTCTTCTGAAATGGTGGTGCAAACTGCTAACAGGTTGAACTTTGCAAACAAGACTTTGAGCTTAATACTCAGCAAGTCAATTCAAAAGTTCTGAAAGATATATGTAGAGTCTAACAACTGTCCAGCCACAAACTATTTTGCACATATATTAAAATATTTTAACATATAGATGGAAATTTAGTTGGAGAATTATGTAAAGTAGTGAAATACATGTAATATTATGATCTCTGTTACTTGATGCTTTTTATCCTCACAACAGTAAGCTTATTCTAGTTACTGTCCTCTATACATTTCCTATGATATTGACAAGGAGATTTTGTTTAACAATCAGAAGGTCCTTTTTGTGAGATCATTTCCTGTCTTCTTTTGACCTAATGCTTGATGTAGCCAGGTTACTGTAAGGAGAAATTAGATACTTGTCACCTAGCAAGATTTAATTGCCATTTTCTTTTTTCATGATTTACAGGTGCCTGTCTTCTTGTGGTGTTGGCCTTTGTAGTCTGTACCAGTGCAATTTCTCTGTCCAGTGTTTTGAGCATTGAAGATCAAGTTAGATTCAAACAGACATTCTACAATGCTATACCTTTCAAAGATCTAAAGACAGCAACCTATTCCATCATAGGTTTAAAACTGATGAAGGCAGAGATTCCTCCAACACAGGTATCATCCAGTTTATGAATTGTTAAGATATTTTTTTAAAATTATTTTGATAGAA